GCTGGGGGAGCTGGTGAAGCACGGCCCGGCCGAGCGGGAGAGCAGCGAGCCCCCCCCGGAGGCCAAGGAGGCCCCGCTGGTCCCGCGGGGGGGGGCTGCCAACAAGACCCCTGCGCCCCCGCCGGCCCCGGAGGAGACAGAGAGCGAGAACCTGAAGCCCATCGTTATCGATGGCAGCAATGTGGCCATGAGGTGCGCTTGGGGTCTCTGGGTGGGCACGATGGTCTCTCCAGGGCTGCCGGTGGTCGCGGCGGTGGCCCCCTGAGGGGGTCACCTCTAGCTATGAGGTGTGCCAAGCGCTAAGTGCTTGGAGTCTGAAAAACTCGGGGGGTTTCTCACTGCAAACAGCTGCTGCTGGATGCCCTGGTAGTGGCTGGTAATATTTTCCAAGGCACCTCGCCAGTATGCGTAGCTCTCACAAGGACAAGCATCATGATTGCAGGTGGAGTCTGCCTTGGTGGCCTTTCCTGCCCATGGCCTCTGCCAGCCCGTAACCAGTGGTCACAGGGTTCTGACAAGAACGGGCATGCCTTCTGGGAAATAAAGACATTTCCTTCTATTTTCTAGCTTAGGAGGAGGATAACTGAAGATACAGTGTCCTCTTACCTAATGGCTTTATGTAAGTTTCTGTAGCAGGAAGTTGCTCAATAAATAATTACAGGTTTAATTAGAGAAGGCTTTGTAAGATGGAGCTGTCTCCCGCATTGGAGACCAGTCTCCAAATTGTGACTCCTATATTTTGGTTGAATTTCCGTACAGTGTAGACAACAGATGAGATGTCAGAGGGGCACTCTAGGCCATTGTGTCACCAAGTCCACGCTGCGCCTCACCCTCAGCATCTCGGGTGTGCTGGTGGTGCAGGTCCTGCTGGGCGCTGCGAAGCTGTTCGGACTGAAGTGGTAACTCAGGAGCGCAGGAGCCCTAATAGCGACAGTTTCTGGGCTGCATATTTATTGGCGTGATGTCCCTGCTTTCACCATGGCTTTTGTCCCCCAGGATGGTGAATGTGCCTGCCCCCACCCCAGCCCCTGGTGCTGCACTGCCCACCTCTACATGGTGGGGGTCTGGACGCCGTTAATTTAATACACCAGATTTCTGAATTGGGCTCAGTTGTTGCAGTTCAAAAGCAAGCCTCCTTCACTGCATTTTAGCTTAATAGGTCTTGTAGTATGTGTTTGTGTACACAGACTTTTTTATATAAAAAATGAACCTGGATGTAGACAGAGCTGCTGAGTGCATTACTGTAGATCTTGTCTAAGGTGAAAGTGCTGCGTGGAGGTTGGTTTGCAGGTGTGGTTTTCTCTAAGCCGTGGTTGACAGTTCTGGGAACAGGACTGAGAAAAGATGGGGTACAGTCTGCTGTGTGACTGACAAACAGCCTGCGGGTCCCAAGGCAAATACAGAATTCTGATGGCAGTAGAGCAGGGCTGGAGAGAGAGATTTGACCGGGGTGTCCGCAGGAGAGCACAGTCCTATTCCTGTGGCTCTCCAGGGGCTGTGCAGTTGCTTGAGGAAAATGGCCCATTGTGAAACCTGGGCTGATAAGCGTGACTTTTGCAGTGAAGTTTACCTTAGATAAGTGCTCAGGCTTAAACAAGAGAGTCGGTTGTGTTTTTTGGATGAGGAGCCTCTTACCCATGAAAGTTTTCCCAAAAAGCACAGGAGAGATCACAGCAAATGTGACTCGGGGCAGGCCAGGTGGTAATAACGCTGCGGATAGGACAGAGTTTGACATGAGAAAAGCAGTCTGGCTTTTTTTAAGCAATTTGCTAGAAGGGGAATTCCATTCTGAAACTTCCTGTATTGATGGTGTGATGTTCCCTGCTGATTCATTTGCAGTGTGTACAGCGGCCTCCCTGAACAGCTCTTGACAAACATATGCAAATCATAGTGGAAATTAGCTTTTACTTCCTTCTAAGGGAATTTTTTCTTGGCTGCTGCCAAATCAGATCAGCCCAATTAGCTGCCTTCTGTAGAGTTGAGATTGGTAGCAGGGACTCAAAAAAAAAAAAAAAAAATCTCTGCTTTCCTCATTTATCTCTAAAAGACTGCAGTAACCTGTGTCTGGCTATCTGTAGCAAAGCCAAGCTGGCATTGGAGAAAATTTTTATAGCATCTTTCTTCTAATTGTTAATGTCAGCCCTTCTGTAATTTGGGCTTCTTAATGAAGATGTGTTAGGTGTCTCTTTAGGTGTTAGTTTTGGTGTTAAGTGTATAGTTCTTACAGAGTAATTATTTTGGTCCAACTCTTCCATTTTCTTAATAGCTTCAGAGAAGGGTGAGGGCAGAAGGAGAAATAAAGTTTCTTTCTAGTGGTACAGTTGTACTGTGGTAGTAGCACTGCTTACCAGTGCCTCTGTTGGGATGTATGCTCTTTCTGGAGGCGTTTACTAGCATGTGAAGTGGTGGTGGGAGTTGAAATGCCATTCAAGTGCAGATGGGAAGAGTAAGACTTGGGGCAGGGGTGGTGCCCAGGTGGGGAAAATCTTACTGAATTATGAGACCAGTTATCTTCAGTATAGTACATCTGACCAGAGCGTCATCCTGAAACGTGGGCTATTAGAGTCCCAGAATGACAAATCGGGCTGCAATACAGAAATGTTGAAAGCTTGCCAGAACCATTATCAACAGAAGAGCTGATTACACTGTAAATACTGGCACTCGTAAAACAGGAGTGGAAGTTTCCTTGTATAAGTTCGGGAAGCTTATTGATATGACCTAATGTATAATTAAGAAGCAGCTTTTTGCATTGGTATGTAGCTTCTGATGCTGTTGTCAAACTTTGTTCTCAAACTGCCAAGTGCTGTTAAGACATTTAGCACTGATCCCGTTAAGAGGAGATGTTGCTATTTTGTGCAAATAGTCCACCAGTAATTGACTTCTTGGGCCATAATATAATGAAGCATCTTTCTGCAGTGCTGATGTCCTTGAGAGCATAAAATATCTTGTTTTCCTTAACTTCTCAAGGAAAGCACCTAGTGAGGGTGCAGTTTGGACCGGCAGAGGCTAGCCACTGGTGCTAGCTGGCAGAATGGGACAAAGGGTGTTCAAGATCACATTGTACTCGGAGCTAAAAATAAAAATCTGGAGTTGAGAGTTGAAGTAAAGGCTGTGTTTCAGAGCAGCTGCAACAGTTACAGCTGCTTTCTCCCTCCCACTGAGGATTTGGGTATTTATTGGTATACTGAGGTGCTAAAAGCAGCAATAATTCGGTGAAGATCTTAGTGCTGCCCTTTACACCAGGTGAGCTATGAGTACTGATTGTGCTGCTGTAGACACTTCTTCATTAATGGTGGTCTGAATCACTGGATCCGTTTGCTCAGTGTATTGCCTGACGATTCCGTACATAACCTGAATATTGAAATCCTTAATTTTCTTCTTCAATGCAGCCATGGAAATAAAGAAGTTTTCTCCTGCCGAGGTATCCTTCTGGCTGTCCAGTGGTTTTGGGACAGGGGACACAAGGATATTACAGTCTTCGTGCCATCTTGGAGGAAGGAGCAGCCACGACCAGATGTACTTATAACAGGTGTGGAAATATGAAAACCAAAAGTAGCTTTTCAGGCTTACAGCTTTGTCACTTAATGAGCTTGCAAAGTTCTGGCTAGTTAGTAATTAACTTATGAATGGAAGATCTGGGTTGTAGGAGATCCAGTAAGCTGAGTTGACCAGTAAGAATTAGTCATTAACTTGTCCCCTAAGCAAGTTCGTGCCTGGATCAGTTGGAATAATTCAGAGAACAGAGAATGTTATAGTACTCTGCTTCCTAACTTCTTGTCTTTTATTACTTGCATTTTTTTCCACTTTCAGGGACACATCTTCATGCTATGTATTTGACTGTAACATATTTGACACTGTAGACTGTACAGAATTTCTATGTGCTAAAAGTTAAAGCTTGATGGGAGTTTAGTCAGAATTGTTGAAATTGAGGGGAGTTTACTCTGAACTTGCAAACAGCTGAGATTTCTCAGTAACTACTCAGAAGTCTGTGTGTATAGTATGGCACTACAAAAGATACGAGCCTGTCAGTCTAAATGCAAATTGCACTTTGCGTGCAAAGGATTATGTGGATGGGAATTGCTGTATTACAGCAGCCTCTGTGGTGTGCTCTGAGTGTTGTTGGGTGCCGTGCAGGCACTGGGGCTGGCAATCCACCTCTGACAGCCTGACGGATGGTATAAGAAAAGAGATGAGAATATAGGCTGGGTTGTGGAGAGATGAAATGGCTTTACCTGAAATTTGTTGTTTATTTATAATGTTACTTTACCTGTGTGAAGGCCTTTGGGTTGTGTAAGTATGTTCATGGTTGTGTTTGTTCTAGACCAGTACATTCTCCGTGACCTTGAAAAGAAGAAAATTCTGGTCTTCACCCCTTCCAGGCGGGTTGGAGGCAAGCGTGTTGTCTGTTATGACGATAGATTCATTGTGAAACTGGCACATGAGTCGGATGGCGTTGTGGTTTCTAACGATACTTATCGGGACCTGCAGAACGAGCGTCCTGAGTGGAAGAAATTCATTGAGGAGCGTCTGCTGATGTATTCTTTTGTTAACGACAAGTATGTTCCTATTCTTCCTTTGCTTTTAAAAAAGATCTGTGTGAGTATGCTGTCTTGTTTTCGTGCATAACTTGCCATTGTTTCATTAAAAGAGCAAAATGCTGGTACAGAATGGAGAAAAAAAAAAAGTCCTGTAGAGAGAGCTCCAGGACTTGATTTCCTCACAGGACAATCATTAGGAGGCCCAGCAGCAAGTGGTAGTTCTGGTCAGCAACTGAGCACAAAACCTTTTCTGTGCCTGAAGTGAAGCACTCCATGCTTTACCAGGTCACGGAGCTGTCACTGCAGTGAAATGGGAAAGTTCTTTTAGGGCTCGGATAGCTTTTCACCTTCAATGAAAGGAAAGACTTCTAGAAGAAATGAAACCCTGACCCGAGAAAGTGAACTGCTCCTGATTGAGATTTATTTTTCTTTAGGTTTATGCCTCCAGATGATCCTTTGGGGCGGCATGGCCCCAGCCTGGATAACTTTCTGAGAAAGAAACCTGTTGTGCCAGAACACAAGAAACAACAGTGCCCTTATGGTAAGAACTGCCTTCTGAATGTGAAGATTGAGGTGGCTGTGCAAGTGCAATTCATGCATTTCATAAAATTCAGCTGGTCATTCCATGCTCTGCCTTTCCTTGCAGGGAAGAAATGCACTTACGGAATTAAGTGTAAATTCTACCACCCTGAAAGGATCAATCAGCCCCAGCGCTCATTAGCTGATGAACTGCGAGCCAATGCAAGGTTGTCTCCTACCAGAAGTACCAGTGCCAAGGAGGAGAAAAAGGGCAAAAGAGGTTCCCAGGCAGATTTCTTGTGCTCTGTGCCCACAGAGAGTGAGAAAGGCTCTTTGCAGAAGGTCTCTGCAGAGAGGAAAAGCTTGACCCACAAAGCAAAGCCCAGCGATGTTCCACTTCAGGTCAAAGGCTGTGTGTCAGGCAGCGTCCCTCCTAACAGTGGGAGCCACAGGTCCTCTGACAGGTACCAGCAGCCTCATATGGACTCTCTGTCTTATATCTCTCAGGAGCATCTCGACTCGGGCATTGGGTCTCTGGAGAACCAACTGTCTGATATGTGGCCTTACAGATCCACCAGTCACTGTGATCATTCCCATGCCGATCAGGTGGCAGTCTGCACCTGCAGTAGGCAGAGACCTGTCTACCCACATTCTCCCAGCTTAGAGCAAAATGGTCTGGTCTCTTACAAGCATGGTTCCCACAAATCTTCTTCCTCTGGTGCTAGCTTCTTGCAGTATAGCCCTGAGATATCTCACTCAGGACCTCCTCACTCTTTCTCAGGCTATGGAGTACCTGTACACCCAGCTAATGCTGGGCAATACAGTCTGCCCAATGAGTATAACACCCCTCAACCCCATTCTCGTGAGTACTGGTCGGAACCGTACCAGATGCCGCCTCCTCAAGTGAGATCTCCCAGTGTGCGAGATCCTCGTTCAGTACAGAGAGCCCCAGGGCCAGCATATGGGGACTCCTGCCAGTGGGCGCTCTCTGACCAGTTCGCAGAGGAGCGCGCCAATGTGCATGTCAAGCTGTGTGGCATATTCCATCCCCATTTAGTTGATGCTGTGATGAGCCGTTTCCCTCGGCTTCTGGATCCCCAAAGGCTAGCTGCAGAGATACTAACGTACAAGTCTCAGAACCCAGGTATATGAGGCAGACGCCGAGGGCAGCCAGGCGTGTGAAAAGCTTGAGGGGCAGTGTCTGCACTCTCTCGCTGCCATAGATGCCTGCTGAGGGCTCCTCCTTATTCCTTGAAAGTACCATGCTCCTGTGGGAGGCTGGACACCAGATGTGGTATTGCTTACAGCAAATTCTGTTGTAGACATGAGTGTGCCCCTCTTAAGTGAGAGCACCCTAGGGTCCCATCTTCCCCAGGGGCTGTTGAAGGGCTCTGGGTGATGACGAGGAGCAGAGGCTGCAGCTTCAGAGCAGGATTTTTCCTTTGGGGTTGCACAGGGAGTCGGGCATAGCCTAAATTCCTGCAGCTCAGAACTGCGTGCGACCTGCTCCTCCTATTAGCTTCAGTTTTGAGGTGGCTTAGTGTATTACCAGGCATAGGGAGGAGGGACTTGGGGGGCTTCGGAAAGATAAGGGCGCATTACCTTTGCAGTGGCGTGAGGCCTATTTGTGAAGACTGAAATGCATTGTCGAGGCTGTTCTTAGCTCTTAACTAAGCCTCTTTACTAAATCCTACTATGCAGATCTGTGGAAAATGTTGGATTATAAATCTAGTATGAAGCTAGGTTTAGCTGACTTCAATTTGGTTTTATTGGTGCACTTCTTTAATGATACTTTCCACACCCCTCCCACTTACACTTACCTTCCTGAGATGAGGTAATTCTCCAATACGTACCACAAGTGGTTAGCGAGCAGCTCAGCTCCCAGAAATAAGAGGAGCTAGGAGTGCAATCCTTCCTCGGGATGAGGCTGGACGCTGCTCCGAAGCTACATGTGTGTTGTGTGTTTGGCATTTGCTGAAAAACGCGGTTGTCGGAACACGCGGACGAGCACTCTGTCGATGCTGCTCTAAAACATTGACCTTGGCTGGTAACCTGTCTTAGGCTGTCTCTGTACAGCCCTGACAAGGAGGATTTACGATGTTGTGCCTTCTGTCCTCAGACAGCAATAGTTTTGAGCATTCAGTAAAACAGCTGTAGTCGTGTCTGGACTGCTGCCAGTACTGTTCCAGAGGATTCCTTAATATTTTTCTCTGTAAAGCTGTTGCTGCGTCTTCCTCCTTACTAATGTTTTCCTGTCCCCTTCAGCTTTGTCAAACTGTAGCAGCATTCAAAAATACAGAATAAGACTTATTTGGTAAGACTGTTCCACTTTTGTTCCCTCTTACGCTGTAAGATGTTTTTTACTGTAGATACTGTAACAGATTTTAAATATGCAAAACCAATTGCTGTAGTAATTGGTTCTGGTCCTGGAATTTCATTGTGCTTAGAATGCAAAGATGTTTCTTGCACGTGCAGGCCAGAAGCAGTTGATTTGTTGATACACATTGTATCTGGGTTTTTTGTTATGTTTTTTTAAATAAGTCCATCTTGTGGTTAAACCAAGGTCCTCGAGTGGCGAATTCTGAAGGGGAGAGTGGAATACAGCTGTTCCTGAGAACCCTCTTCAGGAACGGTTTTGTCTGTCGCTGTTCTTCCCTCTGACTGTCCAAGGTGTGACCTACCCAGACTGGCACCATGTGCCGTAGAAACCACAGGGACACAGAAACCTGTATGCCTGGTTAATTATGATACATTACAAATTAGTAATGTTTCATGTTAGTAAGCAAAATGCTTCTTAATTTTAAGTAACCTGATACTTTGCATATTTGTAAATTACAGGAAAAATGGTTTTTAATGTTATTGTCCAGCAACTTGCTGCTTGATGCTGTTTTTAATTAGTACTAGTCTCGACTCAGCCATTGTGTTACTTGGCGTGGTGTTTTTTTGTTGTTCTGGTGGAATGCTGATATATGCTTCTTCTCTTGCAGTCAGAAGACTAACACTTTATACTCACAAGCTGACGTTTTACTGAACTTTCTGTATCATTATGCAGTATATAGTTTATGTACTGAATGGAGGCAGCCGTGTGAAAGCCATGGCAAAGTAAGAATTTGTTATATAAATAAAAACTGCTGAGTTGAATTAGTTGGTCTCTGGTGACTTTTTGGAAGACCGTTCAATATTTTGGCTGGCTTTCCAGGAAAGTCAGAGAAATTATCCTTCCTCCCTGGGGTTCTTCTCACAATCTCAGATCTCCGTATGCAGTCTAATGGCAGCAACAGTGATGCCTGAACGCTGACCGGCTGGTTAACTGATGCAGGGTGACAGGTCAAAAAAATCAAATTGCTGCAGCAGATAATAGCGTGTCCAGCGTTTACTGTTTGTTTGGCGTTACTGAAGTTAGCTCGCCGCACAGGGGATGCGCTGGCAGTCGGGGTGCAATGAGGCAGTCGCGTGCTGGCATGTGGCTCGAACAGCAGGTCGAGTGCTGCAGGTTTGTTGGATGTTTCTGGTGCTAAAAAATAGGACACTCATTATTTTGGAACAAATAGTGCAGGCTGTGCTTGAGTTTTAATGGGCAGTTCCACAGTCCAGTCTGGAAATAAATACATATTTTATCCAGTTATATAGCACATCTGTGTCAGATGTTGAGCATGATGATACGCTAACTGTAACATGTCAAGACTTTGCTCTAAAGTTTTGTTATGAACTGGGAAGGAAATGCAGTAGCAGTATCAGTGCTGACACTTCTCTGTAAGAGCCTTCCCCTCCCACCTGCTATACTTCAGTACAGCACATTCTTATCTGACTTGTTATATAACTTTATGGTCTTTATTCAAATTTGTGTTTGTGATTTAATACAGGGCAATGAACATTTCTAGTTAATCAAAAACAAGGAAAGCAGCTGCTCCTGGAGATAGTGCTTTGTTTCAAAAAACAAATCTGAAATCTGAGCCACACAGTCTGAAAGGTCATTTATTGGCTGTGGGAGAGGAACCATCTGAGTGCTCGAAGTGACACTAAGTTTGTGTGGCTCTTACATGTATGATGTCTGGGGTCTTGGTGGGGAGGGGGTTAAGCGATGTGTCATGGATTTGATCAGACCTTCTAACCAGGCGAGGACTTTTCTGCTGTTCATAGTGGGGTCTGTAGTTGAAAAAGGCTGCAGGATTTTAAGGCTGGTCTTCCAGTAAAATACATAAATAAGTAATTTTAGTTTTGCAGGATGGGTAGATGTGGGGGGGAATGTTTATTTTTATTTCTATGGAAGCTGGACTGATACAACTAAAGGAATTGGCGCAGGAGCACGGAGGTTCATTGCCATAACCAGGAAGGGAAGAGCTTGGTTATGATGTGAACTTTTCTATTGCAGTGACAGTCCTGGTGGCACACAGAGCAATTTGGGAGGGTCAGTCCCTCATACAAATCTGGTCAAAATTATTCCCACAAACTGCTGCTGTGTAAGCTGCCATGGCACCCAGAAAACCCGAGAAATAGTGGCTGGACTTCGGCTGGAATTCTCTCACTCTCTCACACAAGGCTTCTGCGTGAGTGAACCTGCGCCTCCTGCCCCTGCAGCATCCTCTGTGTGTGAGTGTAAGTACCGCTTTCCTGTGTGTCCCACATCCCCGTGGTGCCCAGGAGCTCGGGAAAGGTTGGGAATGCTCATCACAACTGTCACTGCTGCATATTTTCCCCCCTGCACTGAATCAGAGGAGCTGCCTACCTGCGCACCGCAGGCTGCTGTGCTTGGGCAAGTTCTCGCTGTGCTGTTTCTGTGGAATTTTCAAGACGCATCCTGTGGCTTACCGCTTCCTCGGGGTGCATCGGCAGGGAGGACCTGTCATGACTGCTGTGTGTTTGCGTTGTTTCTTATCCATCTAAAATAGGTTAGATCTTCTTGTCACCTTACTGATCTATTAGAGTTAAGGAGGTCACACACAGGCACGCTGTTGAAAGTTTCCTGTGCTGCAGCGGGGTTGCCCTGCCTTCATCCTGTCGGCCTCGTGCAGAGCCCTGCGGGAGGCTGGCTCCTCGCCGAGCAGCTTTTCCTACCCCCCCAGGCTGAGGAAGGAATGGCTGCTGCTCTCCTTGAAAAGGGGGAGCTCCCAGGCCGAGCTGGAGAATGGGATGAAGGAAAGAGAAGGACAATTGCTGAGATGACCCGTGGCTGTTTCTGTTGGACAGTGGGGCCAAGGGGGGTTGGCTGAAAGCTGTGAACTCTGCAAAACAAGACTGGCAAGCCCATCCATTGCTAGCTTCCAAATCGTGTTCACCTTCCAGCAGTGGTCAAGTCATTCTCACTTGTCGTGGGTGGTGTTCCCTGCTGGAGCCCGGTGCCTGCACTCAGCAGGAGGAGGGGGCTGTGGCTGTGTCCTCCCCAGAAGGGCACAGTGGAGCAAAGGGAACCAAGGAGGGTGCGTCAGGGTAGGAAACGCTGTGATGTGAAAGTGAGGAGGGTGAGTGGGGGTGCTTGTAAAGAGGAATGAGGGATCCACCAATGTGTCTTGGGGATAGAGAAGGAGAACTGTCTCATCTAGCACACCTGGGAAGGTAAAGAAATAGATGGAAAGGGTAAATATCATCAAGGAAAGAAGTTTGCTTCTGCTGCACAACGAAAGGATGAACAGGCGGGGAAGAAGTCACTGCTCCTTCAGAAGTCAGTGCTGCAGGAGAGCTTGACTTTTTTTTCAAGTCAGTACTCAAAAGAGGGAAGGAAGAAATGGGAGGCTCTGCTGTGGCAGAGTTCAGGGCAGAGACTGCTGCGTTCTTGTTTCTCCTTCCCCTGTGTGGTCGGTGACCCAGGCAGGGCTGTGGGCGCTGAACGCGGCCCCCAGCCCAGCGGGGTCGGGTACCTGCTGTCTGGGAGGCCCCATCCTGCTCCCGGTGTTTGCTTGCTTCTCCCCTGCGCCAGCTGCCTTGTGCCCTTCTTGCTCGATGAACTTTTGTTTGAACCCATGCGGTTCCCTCCTATCGGGGGATTTCCAGGATGTGGCTAGCTCAACTCTAACATTTTAAGGCGTTTCCAGAGGCAGGAATCTGACCCAAGGCTCCTACAGGGGCCGTGGGAAAGGGGCTGCTGTGTAAGGAAGGACATGTGTGCGCGGTGTCACAGGGGGGCTGTGGCGATGCCACCGTCTGGGGCAGGCCAC